GGTGCTTGCCATTGGTGGCCCGATGCTTGATGTTCGATTCCACTTCCATGCTCCTTCCGCTCTCTACGCTCCTTTTGAAATGCACAGCGAGGATGTGAGTGTGTGTTTGGGTTTGGTCTTTGTACTCTGGCACCAGGTGCGCGTCCCTTTATTTTTCTATAAATAATTAATAATTAAGAGAAAAGGCGTTCAATGGAGGTGGGTTTCAAATCAATTGGATGCACCAGGCAGCGGAGAAGTTTGCATTTATATATATATTTATATATGTACATATATTTAACTTTAAAGGCAATGACTATTTTGTAACCTTTTGCTGAGAATATGACAGCCAATTTCCTTTACATTAAATCATAAAATAATAATAATAGTAATAATTCATAAGGAACTATATGCGATGCACAATGTGAAAACGAAAAACCGCCTAAAAATGCATACAAATAACATTTGCCTAGAACTGTAGTTGTGTTCATGGAAATATTAAAAACATACATTAATTCCATATCATTATTATAATATAATTGTAGTTATTATTTTTTATTATATTCAACAAATTGTTTTTTTTTTTTTTTTGCAATAGTGGTAGATAAAATCCTATCAAAATTATAACATATTTAAAATAATATACCAAATTTTTATTATATTATTATTTTTAAATATTTTTCCATTTTTCCCCCCTTTTCCTGAGTTTTATTCTCTTGGCCACAAGTGTATAACGGTACTGCGTCTTGGAAATTGCAAAATGTTTGTCAATGGTGGCTTTGGTGTGACCGGGATAGCGATAGACATGTATCGAAACTCCCCTACAGTCAAAATTCAAGGTCAAACAACAACAACAGCAGCAGCCACATAATTCAGTTACCGTTAAAGCTTTTCAACCCCCAACAAACATTAGCGTTGTCTCTATCGCACCAACTCCAAAGTGTTATTGTATGTGCTTATGTATTTTTTTTACATAGATAAATATGCCTATGTATATAAATATGTTTTTTTGTCAGCTGCTATTTGTTGTTTTTATTCTTACTCGTGGTTCTTATCACTGGTTTAAAAGTTACAACTCCTGAATGTCCAGTGCATTTTTGTTTTTTCAAGAGTTTGCAATTCTTTAAATAAAACTTTACACACATATTTTTTTTTTTGTTAATTTTTGGCAGAGTCAAATTTCAATTCCTTTTTCTTTGCTTTGTTTTCGTATGCATTTCCCCCGCGACTCGTGTGGCAAAGCAAAATTACAAATAAAAACAGAAAGCCCAATCAGCAAAAACAAAAACATAAAGCCGCATTGAATTTTATGTCTGCGTTGTTTTTGGTGTTAATGTGTTGTTTTGTTTTTGTTTTTGTTTTGTGTTTGCCTGTGTGTCTGTGTGCTTTATATTGCGTCGCTGTTGCTTTCGCCGCCGCCTCTTCCTTGTATTCTTTAGCCGCCTGTATTCCTATGTATCCCCCGTCCTATGTACATATAAATACATATATATGCTGTAACCGGTTTTATGTTTGTTTTGCCCGGTTTAACCTTGAAAATTTAGTGCGTCTCACGAATTTCTATGTTTTTATTGCCGTCTCCTTCCTTTCTCCATTCTTCTTCTTCTGCGGCCGCTGCCGCTGCCGCTTTCGCACTTGTTGTGCCCCCTTTTTTCTGATAACAACAAAAACAACGTGGTAGCGGTAGCGGCAACAAAAACACTTTTCGGCTGATTCCTCTCTTTCTTTCGCTCATATTTCTCTCCTTTTTTTTGAACCCCGAAATCGGGGAAAAAGGGAGAAAAGAGCTTGGGCATAAAAGAGCGGAAGAGTAGGGGGAAAAGCATAAAAGTGACGCTGTTGAAATTGCGTCGCAAAAATTTTGCAAAACCCAGCAGCCGAATAATACGAAGAAGAAGCATTATTAGCAACATTGTATGTTGCCTGTTTTTACAGTGCACGCAAAAATATTAGTTCCCCCAAAGTTCATTCAATAATTTCCAATCAGAAGTTTACAAAAGTTTAAATTGTTTATAAATATATAGGTTTGTGTATCGGAAATGTATACCTTGAAAGACTTTTTCTTAATGACGTTTAGATATACAATAAACTGTTTATGGCTATCGATGCACTTTTGTAAGTGCATGTATATATGAATGTACTTTATAAACTCATGTACATATGTTTATAGAAATATCAAATCAAAATTTGTAAACAAACAAAAAATTTGATCCGACAAAATGTTGATGTGGAAGCAAATGGAAAACTTTCAATACAAAATACAAGACATGTCAATATCAGAGCTCGCAAATAACTGTCGACCGTTTCTCGTTGTCTGCAAATAAGTGTCTTTTCCTGACACTTTACGAAAAAACTCAGAGAGCAACCGAAATAAGGGTGCTTAAATGAGCTCGCTCGCGCTCAGAGCGAAACCGTTTTTTTTAATTCTGTTTTGTTCTGGTTGTTCCAAGACCGTTTTGTCGTGTTCAGTGAAGCAAAAAGTCTTTTGCATATGTATTGGTATACACTCACACGCATAGGCAAGCAAGTCGTTAAGCGTCTGTATTGCGATCGTGAATTGAGTGTGTGTGAGTAAATGCAAAGACCGTTTGCGTTGAGTTTTTCGGTCAATCGGTCTTTTGCTGACTCTCATTGTGCGAGCGTTTCTCGTTTCGCTCTTTAGGCAATGCTCATTGAAAGAGCGACACACAAAGATCTCAACGAAAAACGTTCAACAGAAAACCTAAAAGAATACAACAAGAGTCTCTTGCTCAGAGCGAGAGCGAGAGAGTATGAACTTTTTCGGTTGTGCTCGCAACGAGAGCGTAAGAAAAAAATCGGTCGACAGTTATTTGCGAGCTCTGGTCAATATATATATATTTACGATTTTTTCAAGCCTGGATGTAAAACAAAAATTAATTTAAAATAGTTTTTTAAACTTTCAAATTGACTACATTTGGCCGGTAAAATACAATTTTTACTTTAGTGATGGTAACCACTACTATAAATCGAAGTTGTTTAATATATAATAAACGTACCGCAATTTAATTTAACAGTTTTTGTGAAGTTTAATTGGAATTCTGGCTTCATCCCCGGACCATACATATGATATTACACCACCACTGTTAACAGGCTTTATCAACACAACACAAACACACATTTTTCCGTTGGAATATGAGCGAATGGGAAGATTGAAAGAGACCACGAGACAAGAGGGAATCGGATGACATGCAAACTTGCAGGAGGAGGAGTCCAAGAATGCAAATAAACACGAGGCGAGCCAAAGACAAGGAGACAACAAAAATAAAAACATGAGACAAACAAGTTGCGCGCATGTTTGTGCAGGCAGAAAAATACCACCCAATTCACCCCCTCCCCCCACCTCACATTTTGGCAGCTGTTCGGTTTTCCGTTTTTGTTTTTCTCAGTTTATTTTTCGGGTGCGTGCGTGCGTATTGGTTGAATTTATCACGTAGACCAATTTCGAGTCCAATACGAAAATATTACATGTTTTTCTTCATACATAGGGCACACTCTAAAGCCATTTGAGACTGGATATCTAATGGAAAATTTTAAGGGATTCCAATTCGTTTATTTTTCCTAAATTCCTATTGTACAATTTTCCCAGTACGAGACGTGTACTTTTACACTTTATTTAACAGAAAAATCGTACTGTAAGGCTCTGCTTACTTACATATGTATGTACATTTATGTATATGTATGTATTAACAGACCGCGACTGTATTTTTGTTTTGTTTTTCGCTTTCACATTCGCATTCGCCGGCAGTTTTATTTTTGTCTCCACTTTCAATCGCTCTTCGCCGATCGTTTTGCCACTTACCTTTAGTGCTTCTGATTTGTTTGTGCTGCTCCTCTCTTCGGTGGCTCCTTTTCCCGCAACACCAACTTGCTATCTGCCTCTCAGTTACTCTCTCTCGTTTGCGATGCTGCAACCAACTGCAATGCTGGCAGCAAACAACAACAACAACGTTGGTGTCGACGCTGGGAGCCTGTTTTTTTTTGTTTGTGGGTTCTTTTTCTGTGCTCTTTCCTTTAGCGTGGGCAAAAAATGCACTCACAGAAAAAAATATTGTGTGTGTGTTTACTAGAAATTTCCTTCGCCTGCTCCTGATTTGCTCTTCCTATCCCTTTCACTCGCAAACACGCACACACACACACACACACACCCACAACCGTACAGTAGTGTGCGCGGGGGAGCTGTTGCCTTCTTTATTGTTGTGTTTTTGCCGCTTAGTTTTCAGCTACTTAGCCCAGTTCTTTGGTTTTTTTTGTTTGCTTTCTGGTTATTTGTTTCTTAACTTTATGCCGAGCTATGCATGAACTTTGTGGAAAAAAAAGATGAGGAGAACCGTGGATTCAGCGCAACTACACACCGTGAAAAATCAAACTTGACTGAGCGAGAGAGCAACGCGGCTCGCGCTTTTATAGTGGTTCTCTTCGCTCCGAAGGGGTCGACCTGTGGAACTCTCTCGATTTGCGCTCTCCTTATTTGCTTCTCTTGAGTCGTAATCTAGCCAATTTTTTGCTTTGGAAAATTTTAAAAGGACCATTTTCATTGTTTAATAAAGAATTCATTTAAATTTATGTATGGTTAAGTGCAGAAAAATTGTATTGAAAGTATTTTGTAGAATATTTAACACAAATATACCCGTGCTACCTTTGAGTGCAGGACCGTTCTCCCTCTTTCTGGTTCTCTTTGGTCGCATGTGCGCAAAAGCAAAGCTTAAATCATAAACAAAACAATGAAATTGGTTTTTAAAATAAGTTTTTAAACCATCCATGGGGCGTATTTAATTAGCTTTCCTAAAATAAGCGGAAAAATAACTCAATTCTGAGGACGTTTGAGCACCGATTTCAATGAAGTTGCCCCATTAGCTATTACACATTTTCGCCGCTTTTTCAAAGGGCACTTAAGTGGCAGCCACTTGATTTTTATAAATCAAACTTTGGCTTCTATTTTAATTACTTAATTTAAATTTATTATTCAATCTGTTTGATCAAATTAAAACGACACAAACATATTTATTTGTGGTATCAGTGTTCACATAAACCGGTAATGTATTAAATTTAATTGTTTTAAATATTGAATTTTGCTTAATTTGGAGAAATGTGAATGATATACATTTTTTTATATAGTAACATAGATTTATATATATATTTCTTAATTTACCGCCCATTGTAGTGTACACCCAACACAGTGGCATCACTGCGATAGTGCGGTTCTTTTCGAAAATGCAAACAAAAGAGAATGACAAACTGAGTCCCGATATTCTGCTAAGAATAAAAGGAAAAGTAATAACTGCTATTTCCTAGCTTTAGTTGAATATTGTTAGTATGTAATATAATTTTCCTAGAACTGGTTGTTTTGGAGAAAACGCCGGCGTTCGCGCTCGCGAATTTCTCGGCGCACCGCAGGAGCATTTCCCTGGGGATTGAGGATAAGAAAGTTATTTTCACAATGGGTTCGCGGATTGTATGTTTTTGCCGGCGGCTCAGCATCCCAGTCCTCAGCAGACTGCACACAGAAATCGGCCGGTCGTGGCTCCACCGGCGGTAGAGTTTCCGGATTCATATAGTGCACCATGGTAGAGCGGTTTGGGCAGCATGCGACGTGCGTCTAAAAGTAGGATCATAAGCAGCTCATGGTAAATCTCTCCCCAACAATATTATCTTTGCACTCACCATCATATCGGCCACGGAGTGGACATGGGTTACATTAAACGGGCAACGGACCATTTTGGCGGAAGGAAAGTTGCGTGCGCAGCGTACAAGATGAACGGCAAGGCGGCTCGGAAGCAGGCGATGGACGTTGTCGAAGGGGCACACCACAAACCCTTCGACAATTGATCCCGGAACAACTTTAGAACTTTTCGACATAGTTATAGTTTTCGTAGGAAATATGTAAATTCAACTAGATCCTCGCCCGCTGTTCGATCAGCCGTTGATGCTTAGGCTTATCGATATCGATTGTACGGCGTACAGTGGGAAAGAACATAAACCGATCTCGATTAAAAAGAATTTTTGCGATATTAATAATACTAAATACAGTATATTTAAAATATGTATATTATTTACAGTTTAATTGTAAATTTGAAGCCCGCCGATGGAGAACCAAACAAAGCAAACACGGCTGTCGTTGTATTAATATACTAAAATGATAAAATACTAACTTTTGTTTTGCATTTCGTGACTGTCGTGCAATAGTTCACGAATTCATTTACTGGTCACTTTATATCGATAAAAGCATTGCCAGACCGTTTTATTTTTATTTTCTATCGATACCGATTGTATTTGTTTACTTCTTTCAACGCACGTGCACTTGCTTAAAACAATTTAAATTCTTTAATTATTTATTGCACTGACGCCGCATTTGACGATTTCACAATGCCGTTCGTTGCCCAGGAGGGCAATTGCCTGATTTATCGCGGCAGCAACTTCCTTAAGCAGCGTTTGATTCTCTCTTGTTTGTCCGGAAAGCCTGTGAAGATCAACCAAATCCGAGCGGAGGACGAGTCGGCGCCGGGCCTAAGGGAATACGAGATAAGTCTGATTCGATTGCTGGACAAAATAACCAATGGCACCAAGATCGAACTGAATCCGGCGGGCACAAGTGTTATGTTCTCGCCGGGATTGCTGCACGGCGGCTCCATTACCCACGAGTGCTGTGTGCAGCGCGGCATTGGGTATTATTTGGATGCATTGATTGCTCTGGGCCCATTCTGCAAGAATCCGCTCCACTGCAACCTGCGCGGTGTGACCAACAGCAAGGACTCACCTTCGGTGGACCACATCAAGGGCGCCGCATTGTCGTTGCTTAAACGCTTCCTGGTGGTCGACGAGGGCCTGGAACTGAAGGTGGTGCGTCGCGGTGCCGCTCCCCTTGGTGGCGGTGAGATCACCTTCCGGTGTCCAGTGCGCAAGAGTCTGCGGGCCATTCAATTCCAGTCGCAGGGCATGGTGAAACGCATCCGGGGCACCGTTTACGCCTGCAAAGTGTCACCCGCGATGGCTAATCGCACCGTGGAGTCGGCCAAGGGCTGTATGCTTAAATTCCTGCCGGATGTTTACATTTATAGCGATCAGAACAAGGGCAAAATGTCGGGTAATTCGCCAGGCTTTGGCATTTGTCTGGTGGCAGAGACTACGGACGGCGTGTGCTATGCCGCCGACAGCTGTTCTAACACAAGGGAGGAGTCTGTGAGTTATGCCCCATAATATTTGATATAGATTCGGTTTTAAAATATCTAATTTTCGTTATTTTAAAAGGAAACACCTTCCATACCCGAGGATCTGGGCCGTGAGGTGGCCATGCGTTTGCTGGATGAGATTTATCGCGGCGGCTGCGTTGACTCTAGCTACCAATGGCTGGCAGCGCTTTACATAGCTTTGGGACAAAAGCATGTCTCTAAATTTCTTACAGGTAAGGAAGGAGTCCGATAATGTTCGTTGAAAACTTATTAATATTATTAATTTTGTTGTAGGGGCTCTTTCCACTTACACCGTACACTTTTTGCAACATCTGCGCGACTTCTTCTCCATCACCTTCAAGCTGGAGAATCCCGAGGCGGAGGATGATGAGGAGGAGGATGTGCGTGGGGCCCAGAAAGTCCTAATGGCTTGCGTGGGCATTGGCTATACGAACATCAACAAACGTGTTATTTAAAACGTTTCCTAGGCTAATAATCAATGTTTTTTTTTGTATGCAAGAATAAGAAATTAAATGTTCTAGAAATTGTAAATTTGTATTTTTAATTCAACGCTTAAATCAATTATGTTTACAATGCTTAGAAGCTCATTTGTAAGGCATATATTCAGCGCCTTTTTGTAATCTTTTTGATAAAACCATATTGAGTGGTTTCTTGAAAAGGAGTGAAGGAGCCATTTATGATAATAGAAAGTATTTATAATATATTTTCTTCAGTCAAGTCGATTTAACCATATCAAGTTGTTCCTATGGTTAATATATACTTATTTCCTTTCTATTTGTCTACCAATATTTTAATTTTGCATTTGCAATTGCCTCACAAGGGATTTAAGCCCCAAAATTTTGGCTGCCATGAAAGTTATTACACAAAAATCAGCATACTATGTATATATAAAAAGGCTAGTCACCTTGATTTCTGATTTTTGGACGGCCGCCAATCGTCGAAGGTGAATGCCAGGGTCAACATCATCATCGCCCCTAAACTGACGCAGGTGTAGCAAGTTTGTTGCCAGGTCAATTCTAATCAAGAGAGATCCCTGAACGTGTTTCTAAATCAGTCTGGCTTACAAAATAAGTGCAGAGAGGAAAATTAAACAAGTAAATGTAATTAAAGTTCATACATACAATATTTTTTAAATGCTCTGTTTAAAAATAGTTTTTTAAATGCTGCCTGAGTTGTAAATGAAAGAAAATTATAAAAATCGAAAAATACCTTTAGAGAAAAGGCTTTTAAAATATTTATTAATTTGTTCCGATTATATTGTTCCTGTATATTAAACAGTTTATTGAATTAAGGCATATACGTACATGGAATTGATTAAAATAAATAAACATGTAAACTATTAATACAGATGGATATATTAATATTTTCTGTCCCTTGGGGAAAAATGATATTAAATATGCACTTTTTGCACCTTAAATTATTTTTTAATTCAAATAAATTATTAGGGTCTCGAAACTCCTTCAAAAACTAAGCAATCAATTGTTTAAAGTACTCAAATCCTTTTTATTTTTTGTTGTGGCATAATATTGTGCAACTTTTTAAGGTATTACAAAATCTGTAACTCCATATTTTTGTATACAATATTTGGTATAAAATTTACTATGCTAATATTATGGATTTTCTTTTTTTGAAAAGTGTAGAAAAGGTTTATGAACCTAATATGTTATCACAGTTCCGCTGGCAAACACATGCAAATATATATGTATATATGAAAAAGCTTTTCCATTTTCCGCTGGCTGGCAATTTTTAGTCCGACAACTGATCAGCAGAATGACTGCAGTTTTCTTAATGGTCAGCAAAATAAAATAATAATACTAAACACTACTGCTGCTGATTGACCCGGAGAGGTACTATATAAGTTCCAACTTGGACTGGCAGAGACCATCAAACGTCGTTCTACGTTTGGCCCGATCTGATCCACCGTTTGTCTCCGAGATGAGTCTGCGACTGTGCCTGCTGGCCTGCCTCCTGGTGGCGGCCCAAGCCTCCAAGGATGCCAACATGCAGCTGAAGCCAACCAGGTGGTTAACCACTTCCGATTTGGAGAGTGTGCCCTCCCTGAATGACATCACCTGGGAGCGTTTGGAGAGCCAGCCCCTGGAGCAGGGTGCCAAGCTGATTGAGAAAATCTGTAAGTGGTTTGAAGTTACAATTAATTTTAAAAATATTTGAAAATTTAATTAGAAACTGATTTAAATCTAAAATCAATTGAAAGAGGGTCTTATAAATATTACTGCACCCTTCTCAGTTGATTTTAAATCTTCTATGACTACTATATATGCTATTTCTAATTTATTTCTAATTAATTAAATTCCTTTTTAAATCCCTAGACCACGTTGGCCAAATCAAGCACGATCTGACCCCCAGCTTTGTGCCCAGCCCCAGCAACGTGAACGTGTGGATCGTCAAGTCCAATGGCCAAAAGGTGGAGGCTAAGCTGAACAACTATGTGGAGATTGCCAAGTCTCAGCCTGGTTTCGGCGAGGATGAGGTTACCATTGTCCTGACCGGTCTGCCCCAGAATAGCCAGCCCGCCAAGAAGGCCATGCGTAAGCTGGTCCAGGCCTATGTCCAGCGTTACAACCTCCAGCAGCTGCAGAAGAATGCCCAGGAGCAGCAGATCAAGACCACGGATTACGATTATACCAGCAGCGAGGAGACAGCCGATCAGTGGAAGTCGGCCAAGACCTCCAGCGGCGATTTGATCGTAAGTTTATATATGTACATATATATTTATGGGGTTTACAACCTTATTTTTGGTAGCTTCCTTAAACCTTAAAAGAGACTTAAAATTGCATTAAAAATGGTTATATGATTATTATAATTACAGATCATTGACCTGGGCTCTACCCTGACGAACTTCAAGCGTTACGCCATGCTGGATGTGGCCAACACTGGTGCCATGATCGGCCAGACCCTGGTCGAGCTGACCAACAAGGGTGTGCCCCAGGAGATTATCCATTTGATTGGCCAGGGTATTGCCGCTCATGTTGCCGGTGCTGCTGGTAACAAGTTCACCTCCGAAACTGGACACAAGCTCCGCCGCATCACTGGTTTGGACCCTGCCAAGCTGCTGTCCAAGCGTCCCCAGACCCTTGTGGGATTGTCCCGCGGTGATGCCGACTTTGTTGATGCCATCCATACATCCAGCTTTGCCATGGGTAGCCCCATTCGCTGCGGTGATGTTGATTTCTATCCCAATGGACCCTCGGTCGCTGTGCCCGGCTCTGAGAATGTGATCGAGGCTGTGGCCCGTGCCACCCGCTACTTTGCCGAGTCCGTGCGTCCCGGTAGCGAGCGCAACTTCCCCGCCGTCCCCGCCAACTCGCTGAAGCAGTACAAGGAGCAGGATGGCTTCGGCAAGCGTGCCTACATGGGTCTGCAGACCGATTTCGATCTGCGCGGCGACTACATCCTGCAGGTGAACGCCCAGAGTCCCTTCGGTCAGCGCAGCCCCGCCCTCAAGCAGGCCGCCTACCACGGTGTCCATCGTGCCCAGAACTAAGGGAGTTCCCCTAGTTCGATCCAACCGGACAGGGTCACCGGTCTGGCCATGTCCGTCGTCCGATACTCAGAAAAAACACCCGGAAAAATGTAGTCTAGTGAAGAGTTCCATTGAACAAAAAAACTAAAAAAAAAATAATTAAATCTCAAAAAAATAAAAGCTGCAATTAAAAAATATATATAATAATAATACTTATTTTTTATTAATTTTACTCGGGGCAATAAACATAAAGGTAAAGTTGTTGATGTCTCCATAGAGGTTCCTCCACCTTTCTTTAATTTTTATTAGTATTTTTATAAAAGTATAATTGAAAAAGAAAAAAACATAAAAACAAAATAACAATAATTCCAAATCAGATAGTTCATCTTTAAATAAATCTACATTTAAAAATTTTAAAATTATTCGCGCATATCAAAAGTTTTCTAATATTACACTTCAACAAATTTTAAAAATGTGTTAACATTTAAAATGTTGAAAATTTTAGAAAATGTTATTTTATATTTTTGAAGATATCACTTTTGGCAATTACTGTATTTTTTTTTTGACTATGTTTTAAAATCAAACGAATTTGTTTTGTTTAAAATAAAGTTGAACAAATTAAATAAATTGTTATAAATATGAACATAGGTTTTAGGGCAAATTTAAATATTTATGTTGTAAAAAATTAAATTTTGCCAAAAAAGCATCGATGTTTCTACAACTTTTAACATTATCCACCTTCATTCCGTTTCAAACTTCTGGTTAAAAATATATAATAATAAAACAAACAAATGCTAGATTTTCTAAAATTATCTGATCCTAAGCAGGTGGTAGAATATATATATATACATATATACATATATTAACCAAAACAATCAAAAATGCTAACCAGGCCGTTATGACACCTAATAATTGAGTACAGGTAAATGGTCGAATAGGGAAATAAACAGCTAATATTAATGATGGAAAGAAATAGAACCTGTTGCAAACTATTTTTAAATATACACCATGAGCCAAATAATATGAAAATTAAGTTAATAAGTATAGAGAAATATTAAATAATAATAATGCTAACACTAATAGAAATATAGTAAGAATGATATGGTTCAATAAGAGTATTTTATAGATAGTTTATAATGTAAACCATTAGCAAAGATAAATCTTTGATCTGAGAGATCAAAACTCCCTTAAGCCGAGGTTTCATTTCCCAAAGATTGATCACAGCAATTAGTATAAATATGTTAGTGAGAAAAGTTAGTTAGAAAAGTATTTCTACAAAATGAAAAGTAATTAGAAATTAGTTATCATGCCAAACAATAATTTAATGTGTAAAAATTTAAAATTAACAATAATGCATGCGAATGATACAAAATGAAAGGAGAGAGAGAGAGTGAGTATGGAAATATGGCAACTAGTGTCCACAGCTTGAAATGCACTCAATTAATGAGCGAGACAGCAGGATGCATCAGCAGTTGCATTTTCGTTTACCGTTAGCAATTTGTACAGCTCCAAACATCTCGCTCGCAGCAGACTTGTTGTTGTAATGGTTCTTGATGTAGTTCTTGTTGTTGTTGCATCTCGAGCATGCGCCATGCAAAGGTCAAAGTTGAACTCTATCACATGCAATAGATAAAATAGTATCGGATAGGTTAGTAAACTTGGTCTGGCAGAGAGGGGCGATGGGGGGCGGGGGCAGGGGCAGGTGCGGAGCAATGGAGTGACAGAAGTTGCCGTTTTCTGTTTGTGCATGTCACGACATGTTTGCTTTTGGCTCTGATGGAATGAAATTCGTCGTAACAGCGTACACTTTACGTCAGTGTAGGGCAAACTTAACAGAATTCTGCAATCTCTTTGCTCCACTCTCTTCCCCCACCCCCCACACATCTCGTTCTTACACGCTCTCTCTCGCGAAGCTTGCAGTCTTACAGCTAGTTCTCTCTGTCTGTCTCTCTCTCCTTCTTGGTGGGGCGCACAAGGACGCACTGGAACGTTTGGCATGCATATAAATCCAATTTACAGAGCCCCCTCTGAGCAGATGTTGTTGTTGTTGCTGCTGCTGTTTTTGTTGTTCCTGAGTAAGAGAGGGGGCTTTCTAGCGGGCGCTTTTTGTGCGCACAATTTACAAATCAGGTTGTTCCGGAACACCAGGAGGTAGATCTGACGAAATATTTTCTACTGGGATGTCTTGGCTGTAAAATAAAATATAAAAAATATATAGAGAAAAAATATTAGTTGTTGATAGAATAATTGTAACTACATATGTGAAAAATTTAAAAATTACGTTAGATAAACAGATGCGGTAGTATTCTCCGATTCTTCCTTCGGCTTCCTGGGTTGCCGGAACCTAACCGAAATGGGCGTGGTGGAGCCCCTGAAGCAATAGAAATTAAATGTGTCCCTGGCCCTCAGGGCCGACACATGCAAATCAAATCGAATAAAACCAATTCCACGCGACTCCCCGGTTGACTTGTCACGCAAAACCTTCGCTTCAATTATTTTACCGCACTGTCCAAAAAGTTCCTTCAGCTTTTCCTCATCCACGTTCGGCGGCAAAAACGACAAGTACAAGTTGGCATTCATAATATGCTCGCCACGTGGTCTGGCAAAAGCCACCTTTAGCTTCTTGCCACGGACCTCGTGTCCATCCACAAGGATCTGGGCCGCCACCGCGTTGACCATGTTCTCGAAGACCACGAACCCGTAGCCCAGACTGGTTCGCGTCTGGGGATCCCGAACAATTTTTGCATCCTTAATTTCGCCACAAACCGAGAACAATTCGCGAAGATCTTTTTCCTCAAAGTCGGGCGGCAAGTAGTTAATGATAAGGTTCTTCCTCTGGGTTTCCATTATTCCCGTATTAAAATTTTTCACAAAAAAAACTAGTTACAAAAAGTAGCAGCACAGCGTGTACTTAACACCGGCAAGTCTAAGATCGAAAAGAAAGAAAATTTATCAAACAGGTACTGACAGCAAGTGAATCGATAGATGTGACGAAAATAAATGTATCGATGTTTTTCCCCCACGTGTTGTGATGCACATTGAAATTCAAATTTAAAGAACACTTTTGAGAAGCTTGCAGCTGGGTCGCATTTTTTGTGTTTGGTGGTGGAGGAAGCATTGTCCATTCCGTGTAAAGAAAAATGATTGTGAGCTCTTAATTTATTTTCTTAATTAACTTAGTTTTCTTCTTTCTGGAAAATTCGGATATACGCCATTTGTTTGGACGGTATGTCGCCATTTTCGAATGGCGGCAGTCAAAAGATTGCACTTGGTATGCCAGTGTAAACGCTTTTCTACATTGTTGTGATTAATTTATCGGTGCGTGAATTGAATATATGTATATAGGCATCCCTCTCGCACGTATAGGGTTTCACAATTTAATCTTACTTAAATCGCCACAACATTAAATTATAAACCGACCGACGCTTTTAACGAACATTCACTTTTGAGAACCACGCTAGCGGGCAGCACTCTCTCTACATTGCACTCCCCACTTTCTTTGGCTCTCACGCTCAGCTCAGCGGTGCTCTCAATTCGTTGAGTTGAAATTTTCTGTTTACCAGACCCAGAGAGAGACACATCCCTCTCCCACTCGCTGGCTCTCTCTCGCTCTCTGTGGCAAAACAGTATTTAAGAAACGAGGAAGCTCCAATTTCGTCAAATTTTTTTTTTCATCGAAACGAGTCGGACGTCGTGGCCGCGCGCGCTGCCCGTTTTTTTTTCGGTGTGTACGTTTTGATTGCAAAAAGAAAAACAAAAGAAGGAATACAACAATAAAATAACGCAGAAGGCTAGCAACGACGCTGAAAACATTTTTCATTTCGTGGAATGGAAAAGCGGCGGCCGCAGCAAATGAATAGATAAATTGTGTTAATCGCCTAAATCGAGCCAGCAAATATTTACTGTATTTATATATTGTTGTTGTTGCTGCTGTTGCTGCTGCTGCTGTGCCTTTTTTACCGTTGATGGTCTTCCATCTTGGTTCTGGTTGTTATTGCTGTTATTTTTGCAAATTGTGCAGCTGCCCGCCAGCGAATGATACAAAATGTGAGTTTGGTTGATTTTGTTGTTAACCTGTTAAAGTGCAAACACACACACACACACACACACACTGTTGTTGTATTTGTTGTTGTTGGTGCTAATAAATTGTGCAAAATTAGTTAAGGATAACGGTGCTGCTGTTCATCTGTTCTGTGTGTGGGTGTACACAGAGGCCCCTCTACATCTGTGCATGTGTGTGTGTGAGTGCGTAAATGCGTAAGCTGTGTTGTGCATGTGCCTCTGTGTGAGTGTGTGTGGTGGCTGTGGCCAGGTCCCAAGGTTCCCTCCCCCCCATTCCACCACATCACCTACTCCGCCTGTGCCACAGACTGTCCCTTCCCCACCATTTTCTCTGCTCGCTTCGCCAAAAGCAGCAGAACGGCGTCTGCAGCAGCGGTAGGAGAAGCGGCGGCAGCTGAATTCTGATAAGAATTTTCCATGCGTAATTTTCACGCAACGCTTTTGTTTGTTTGCCTTTTCCGTTTCGTATTCGCGGTTTCGGTTTAATATTTTTATTTGTTGTTTATTATACCCTTATCGGAGGGTATTGCAAAGCAGGGAAGAAGTTAATTTTGACCGTACATATAGTTTTGATTAGCTTTTACTTGGCCAAGTTGATCTAAACTAATTTATTTGCCATAGAAATTAACTGAAAGTTGTTTTTAAAGATTTGTATATCTATAATTTAAACATATTTTCATTAATTTGTCTCTGAACTACATGTTAAATTCAAATTTTGTATCCGTACTGTGTAATATTTTAGCTGCAAGGGTATACGGAGTACGGCTTAGCTTTCTTTGTTGTTCCTTCTTATCATTTTTTGAATAATTCTTTGGCGAGTTCTGAAGTATTTTTATTATGTTCCCAAAATATCATAGAATTACATACATATATGTTTTTTTAATTACAAAACTGCCACTATAAATGATAATATTATTAAAGCTATTTAAGCTGGCAATTTAAAATTAAAGTAAATGTTTCGGATACTTAAAAATTTTTTTTACTAAATCAAGAACGGAGATTTTACTGGATCTTCTTTAAAGTGTGCCCCCAAAATCAAAACACCTTAAAAATTATTCCTATAGAAAACCCGATCGTTATAAATTAAAACAACAAATATATATATATATATATTTATATATATATATATATATATATATATATATATAAATAATACATATGTACATATGTACATAATGTACAAATATAAATAGTAAATTTTTATACCTTTGCAGGGTATTATAATTTTAGTCAAGAGCTTGTAACACTGTAAAGAAATCATTTCCGACCCTATAAAACATATATATTTTTGATCAGCTTCAAGAGGGGAGTCCATCTAGCTATCTCAGGAAGCAAAATTATTTTTTTAATTTTTTAAAAATTTTATAAGGGGTTACATCGTTAAAATTTTCAAAAAATCAAATTAAAAATTTTTTTTTTAACATTTTAAATTTTGTATACAGATTTATTAACCTAATAAAAATATACATAGAGCTGCTTACCAAATTAAAATTAATGGTTTTTTGATTTAGTTATGAGTATTTTAAAAAGTTACTTTTCGATAAAATTGTCATTTAGAAACAACAGTAAATATTGATTTAAAGAATTCGAAAATATTTGAGTTTAGTTCGGATCGATTTCCGATTCGATCATATAATTCCGTCTCAAAGTTAGTTTCTTTTCTTGTTTACAATATAAATGTATGCTTGTAAGGAAATCATTTAAATATAGTAAATATAAATTTTTAGCCAACATATTACTAGTGCAAAATTTGATATGTACATTTATATTTCGATTGAAAGAAACTAAAGCTTTTGGGCTCAGTGTAGTAGGCTTAATGTTTAAGCATAGCCCAAGGATGATGCCTGCGTTTTTGTTGTGTTTTCATTACGCGGCCTGTTGTATTTATAAAATATTAATAAACATAAAACGTGCCACAGGTGTGCATCGCGGAGCAGGGGAGAGTGGGAGATAGTAGTGGCAGAGGGGCACTCACAGAGAGAGAGAGAGAGAGAGAGAGCGGTTAGGAAGAGAGGCTGATAGAGAGGTACCAGACAGCCAGACAGACAGACAGAGACGGCGATAGAGGGAGAGAGCACTCGACCTTTGTGTGTGCTTTTTTTCGTCTAATTCAGCTCACTTGAAACTCGGACTTAATAGGCTTTTTTTCAACCTTTGCTCTCTTTTTGCATCTCCGCCTGTCGTCGTCTCTTTTCTCCGAGCCAGCGTTTATTTCCGCTTGAGTGCGTTTCTTTATTTATATATATATATATTTTTTTTTAACGTTTTTATTACCGCTTTTTGCGCCTTTCTATTGCAACTGTATTGTATTTGTTGGTCAATTACCTTGGCAATTTATTTATCAATTTTCCTTGTTGCTTGATTCAGTTGGATTCCTAAATTAATAGAAAAATATGTATGTATATAGATTAAATTTACAATCGCACATTCAACTCTTATAATTTCGAATATCAAATTTGTTAAGGAATAATTATTGTTAGAAATGAATAATGGTTTAAAATGTCTAATAAGTTGTGTTGAGATGTTGACTTAAATTTATAGTATTTGTTTTTAGCTAAGCTTCCTTAAAGTTTTAATTACCTTTTTCAACTCGAGCTGTTTAATTATTAACTAATTTACTAATAGATTTCCTAATCCCTGAAGCTATTTAACCGAAAACAATCAATTCTAGGGTAACCTGTTATTACACAGTGCTGTTAAACACCAAATGGTGCTGTAAGCGCAACAGACTCACCTTACTTCCCATGAAATCAGGTGTCATTTCGTTAACAGCAAGTCTAAAAAAGAAATAAGATTTGCTTTTGATTTCAGATTTTCTTCATGTGTATACCTTTGCTTTAGCGTTTAGTCACATCATAAAAAATATGTAAAATGACAAAATACATCATAAACACACAATCCACATTGAAGGCTATGTACATGCACTTCGGCAAGCTCTTTTATAGCGAAACCTCGTATGCCCATCCGTGAGTTTTTGTAATTTTTTATTGATGCACAGTGGGGCTAAATGCAAAATGTTAGGGGGAAAATGGCACGCTTAACGATCCGCGAGGCCTAATAAATGTCAGAACCGTGTGATCCATAAACTTGATTAATGCCACGGGGCTTTCACTTATTCTTATAAATATTTCGTTGAGAAATTATAAAGAATTTTTGCTACATATAAAGCTGAAAAGGTGGTGAGAATATATTGTTGGAATATATGCATTTTCAATTTATATTAATAATGAGTAATTTCAAAATAGTGTGATGCATAAATTATTTGTTACGATGACCCAATTTATTATTGTGCTTTTAATATCAAGCAATATGTTAATATTTTCAATAACCAAGTTTGAATATGTATCTAAAATATAAAATAAAATAAAAAAAAAGTTAACTTCGGTACGACGAATAACTAGGAATTAATATAAATATATAAATATAATTATATAAATTTATGTTAAAAACAATAAAGTAATGCCTGCTTTCATTTCATTAACCGTTTTACATTTTCCTCTATTTTTAACGATCGTTTGTATGGCAGCTATATGATATAGTAGTTCGATTTTCATAAAATTTTACCCAAAATTCTAGATTAATATATAATGGCTATATTTTAAATTTGGTGAAAATCTGTTAACAACTGGAAAAGTTATAATACTTTTTTCTTAAAATTTTCCGATCGTTCCTATGGCAGCTATATATATAGTCCACCGATTTGCCATGCTTCGACTTATTTACCAGTAAAATTATATAGAAAAATAACTCCATAGTTTCCTTTAAATAGCTTAAATTAGTTCCAAAACAAATCTCGCACATCCGTGCATATGATTCCCAACTGGTTCTAACATCCCCGGAACGAAGTGACTTCTACCAGCCGTCTCAGATATTTGTTGTGTTACAAAAGTTGCAAGTCATTGTTTACTAGTGTTCAAAGT